ACCGTTTGAATCAGAGAGCGTATCCGATCCACCATTTGAATCAGAGAGCGTATCCGATCCACCGTTTGAATCAGAGAGCGTATCCGATCCACCATTTGAATCAGAGAGCGTATCCGATCCACCATTTGAATCAGAGACCGTATCCGATCCACCATTTGAATCAGAGAGCGTATCCGATCCACCATTTGAATCAGAGAGCGTATCCGATCCACCATTTGAATCAGAGAGCGTATCCGATCCACCGTCTGAATCAGAGAGCGTATCCGATCCACCGTCTGTATCAGAGAGCGTATCCCATCCACCGTCTGAATCAGAGAGCGTATCCGATCCACCGTCTGAATCAGAGAGCGTATCCGATCCACCATTTGAATCAGAGACCGTATCCGATCCACCATTTGAATCAGAGAGCGTATCCGATCCACCGTTTGAATCAGAGAGCGTATCCGATCCACCGTTTGAATCAGAGAGCGTATCCGATCCACCATTTGAATCAGAGAGCGTATCCGATCCACCGTTTGAATCAGAGAGCGTATCCGATCCACCATTTGAATCAGAGAGCGTATCCGATCCACCATTTGAATCAGAGAGCGTATCCGATCCACCGTCTGAATCAGAGAGCGTATCCGATCCACCGTTTGAATCAGAGAGCGTATCCGATCCACCGTCTGAATCAGAGAGCGTATCCGATCCACCGTCTGAATCAGAGACCGTATCCGATCCACCATTTGAATCAGAGAGCGTATCCGATCCACCGTTTGAATCAGAGAGCGTATCCGATCCACCATTTGAATCAGAGAGCGTATCCGATCCACCGTCTGAATCAGAGAGCGTATCCGATCCACCGTTTGAATCAGAGAGCGTATCCGATCCACCATTTGAATCAAAGACCGTATCCGATCCACCATTTGAATCAGAGAGCGTATCCGATCCACCATTTGAATCAAAGAGCGTATCCGATCCACCGTTTGAATCAGAGAGCGTATCTGATCCACCATTTTGAATCAGAGAGCGTATCCGATCCACCATTTGAATCAGAGAGCGTATCCGATCCACCATTTGAATCAGAGAGCATATCCGATCCACCGTCTGAATCAGAGAGCGTATCCGATCCACTGTCTGAATCAGAGAGCGTATCCGATCCACCATTTGAATCAGAGAGCGTATCCGATCCACCGTTTGAATCAGAGAGCGTATCCGATCCACTGTCTGAATCAGAGAGCGTATCCGATCCACCGTCTGAATCAGAGAGCGTATCCGATCCACCGTCTGAATCAGAGAGCGTATCCGATCCACCGTCTGAATCAGAGAGCGTATCCGATCCACCATTTGAATCAGAGACCGTATCCGATCCACCATTTGAATCAGAGAGCGTATCCGATCCACCATTTGAATCAAAGACCGTATCCGATCCACCATTTGAATCAGAGAGCGTATCCGATCCACCATTTGAATCAAAGAGCGTATCCGATCCACCGTTTGAATCAGAGAGCGTATCTGATCCACCATTTTGAATCAGAGAGCGTATCCGATCCACCATTTGAATCAGAGAGCGTATCCGATCCACCATTTGAATCAGAGAGCGTATCCGATCCACCGTCTGAATCAGAGAGCGTATCCGATCCACCGTTTGAATCAGAGAGCGTATCCGATCCACCATTTGAATCAAAGACCGTATCCGATCCACCATTTGAATCAGAGAGCGTATCCGATCCACCATTTGAATCAAAGAGCGTATCCGATCCACCGTTTGAATCAGAGAGCGTATCCGATCCACCATTTGAATCAGAGAGCGTATCCGATCCACCATTTGAATCAGAGAGCGTATCCGATCCACCATTTGAATCAGAGAGCGTATCCGATCCACCGTCTGAATCAGAGAGCGTTTTTGATCCACCGTCTGAATCAGAGAGCGTATCCGATCCAACATTTGAATCAGAGAGCGTATCCGATCCACCATTTGAAGTTCCATCCTATCTTCCCTGTCTATCTCTGGGCAAATGTCACTTTACTCACTGTTTCTGCTCTCTGTTTTCTGCCACTTCCCCCTCTTTGTTCTCTCTTCCTGTCTGTCTCTGTTTCTCCTTTGCTTCTCCACACTACCCTTCGTTCCATTGCTTTGGGCACCAGGGCAGACCTGGGACATGAAGGGGTTGGAGTGAATGTGAGTGCCCCTACTGATCTGCTTTCTCCAGGCTGTCAGAACACCCTGGAGTGGGCCGTACGGACCCTCTGTCGGAGGGTGTCGCGTTTCCAGGGCTGACACTGTGGCCCCTCTGTCCTGCCCGTGGCCCAGGCTCAATGGGCCCTTTGATAGTACACCCAAGGCCGTTCACTGTGCACCCGGCCCAGGAGCACGAGGTTGGTGCAGGGGTGGGGCGGGGAATGGGGGGGGTCACAGACCAAAACACCTGGCAGGTACCAAGGACCACATGCCTTGGTCAAAACAAAAGCCACTCTGTCATGATGTTTATTGCAGATTAATTTCCTTTCCCCATGTTGGCCTTTTTACATTAATAAAACACATGGTGGAGAAAGGAGAGAGGGAAGAGGAGAGAGGAGAAGGAAGAGAGGAGAGAGGGAAGCGGGGTGAGAGGAGAGAAGACAGAAGAGAGGAGAAACAAGACAGAAGAGTGAAGAGCAGGTTGATTGCAACTGTCAGCTGCAGGAAGGAAGTGTATTTATATCCGGCCAACTTATGACATCAATCATTACATCAAATAAAATCTTGTTAATCAACATTCTCTTTAACTAGATAATAGCATATATGTGTGACAAACACAAATGAATAAATACCTGTTACCCTAAAAGTATTCATCCATTGCTCATTATCCATTTGATTAATTTGATCCCATTTTAACCGACCCAGTTAAATGGGTATGTATTTGTGTATATTTCGTACCTAATTACACTTGTTCCTGTTCTATCTCGTTAAGAACTTTAATCCACCCCATTGTGGCGCACCTGTCCCCTCTTGTGTTCTCTCACCCCCTTCCGCTAAACACGGGTTCATTGCTGGGTTCATCCTCTTCCTCTCTTATCTGCAGTTCAAAGCCTGATGACTGAATTATCTCTGGACAGTCAGACAGAAAGGAAATAACTGTCTGCAGCTCTCAGCGTGGTGGGGGAACTCCTCTCCAACAACCACCGGGTTAACTCTGCCTCCCCAAATCCCAAAGAATAGAGATGGAGAGAGGGGAAAAGTTAATCAGAGGGTGGGCGTCTCTCTGTCTATGGAGATGTTTGGACAGGGATCTCTCTATGGACAAATGGCTTCTTTATTTCTTCTCCAGTGAAGGGATGTTATTGGATATGAATGCTAGCAGCGGAAGCTGGGATCTCATGTTTAAGTGGCCACAGAGGGCAGTTGACTGAGTCGTTGAAAGGGAAGGTGTGGTGTGCCAAACCCATGAGAGGAAGACAAGGAGTGGAGAGAAAGAGAGACTAGAGTTGGAGAGAGGGAAGGTGTGGTGTGCCAAACCCATGAGAGGAAGACAAGGAGTGGAGAGAAAGAGAGACTGGAGTTGGAGAGAGGGAAGGTGTGGTGTGCCAAACCCATGAGAGGAAGACAAGGAGGGAGAGAAAGAGAGACTGGAGTTGGAGAGAGGGAAGGTGTGGTGTGCCAAACCCATGAGAGGAAGACAAGGAGTGGAGAGAAAGAGAGACTAGAGTTGGAGAGAGGGAAGGTGTGGTGTGCCAAACCCATGAGAGGAAGACAAGGAGTGGAGAGAAAGAGAGACTAGAGTTGGAGAGAGGGAAGGTGTGGTGTGCCAAACCCATGAGAGGAAGACAAGGAGTAGCGAGAAAGAGAGACTGGAGTTGGAGAGAGGGAAGGTGTGGTGTGCCAAACCCATGAGAGGAAGACAAGGAGTGGAGAGAAAGAGAGACTGGAGTTGGAGAGAGGGAAGGTGTGGTGTGCCAAACCCATGAGAGGAAGACAAGGAGTGGAGAGAAAGAGAGACTGGAGTTGGAGAGAGGGAAGGTGTGGTGTGCCAAACCCATGAGAGGAAGACAAGGAGTGGAGAGAAAGAGAGACTAGAGTTGGAGAGAGGGAAGGTGTGGTGTGCCAAACCCATGAGAGGAAGACAAGGAGTGGAGAGAAAGAGAGACTGGAGTTGGAGAGAGGGAAGGTGTGGTGTGCCAAACCCATGAGAGGAAGACAAGGAGTGGAGAGAAAGAGAGACTGGAGTTGGAGAGAGGGAAGGTGTGGTGTGCCAAACCCATGAGAGGAAGACAAGGAGTGGAGAGAAAGAGAGACTGGAGTTGGAGAGAGGGAAGGTGTGGTGTGCCAAACCCATGAGAGGAAGACAAGGAGTGGAGAGAAAGAGAGACTAGAGTTGGAGAGAGGGAAGGTGTGGTGTGCCAAACCCATGAGAGGAAGACAAGGAGTGGAGAGAAAGAGAGACTAGAGTTGGAGAGAGGGAAGGTGTGGTGTGCCAAACCCATGAGAGGAAGACAAGGAGTGGAGAGAAAGAGAGACTGGAGTTGGAGAGAGGGAAGGTGTGGTGTGCCAAACCCATGAGAGGAAGACAAGGAGTAGCGAGAAAGAGAGACTGGAGTTGGAGAGAGGGAGGGTGTGGTGTGCCAAACCCATGAGAGGAAGACAAGGAGTGGAGAGAAAGAGAGACTGGAGTTGGAGAGAGGGAAGGTGTGGTGTGCCAAACCCATGAGAGGAAGACAAGGAGTGGAGAGAAAGAGAGACTAGAGTTGGAGAGAGGGAAGGTGTGGTGTGCCAAACCCATGAGAGTGGCTGGACTTTCAGAGAGTAAGCACATTTTGGGGGAAAACCTATGAAACTCAAAAATAGATACACAATAACAACATAATAGTGTTCATTTAACACACATTCATTGTCTCTGAAGTGAAACCGGGGTGCACTTGAGTCCAACCAAGTTTATCACTCTGTCTTTATAGACTTGCACACGTCATTAGCAAAACGTTTAATGTATTGGCTATATTTCTCTCTTCAATTTTTTTGCGTTGCCAAAAGACTAGTGCTAACCGGCAGGTAGCTCAGTGGTGGAGTGCATGCTTTGTGTGTATGACGTCCTGGGTTCAAATCCTAGCTGCTCCCAGGTCGCCGTTGCAAATGAGAAAGTGTTCTCAATCGGCCAACCTGGTTAATTAAAAAAATGAATTAAACCAATAGTCAACAGTTTCCTTACTTTGAGGTTACATGGTCAATACAAATAACATTGTTTTATAGACAAGCACTCAAAATGACATATTTTCTTTGAGAATAATTTCTTGCGCAGCAGGTCAGTCACAGTTAGTGTCACTCTATGTTAGCGGTTCTCAGAGTGGCAGGAGGGCAAGATGGTTTTCATCAGGGTTCACAAGTGTGCTAAAATAAAATATGCAATACCTAATTAATCAATAAAATTATGCAATACATAATTTAGCGTCTTAACCAATCATCTGCATTGGCTACACAATTTCATGGATCCGTATCAAACGCAATTCCTACAAAATGAACTGATGAAGAAAGGAGAATATTTTTACGCTTATTGTGAGGAACGAGACTTTCTGTCAGAAGTGATAACGTGCTGTCCATAGTGAATACAGGCAGACCTGTTAGTGTGTGGTGCTGTCCATAGTGAATACAGGCAGACCTGTTAGTTTGTGGTGCTGTCCATAGTGAATACAGGCAGACCTGTTAGTGTGTGGTGCTGTCCATAGTGAATACAGGCAGACCTCAGTGTGTGGGGCTGTCCATAGTGAATACAGGCAGACCTCTTAGTGTGTGGTGCTGTCCATAGTGAATACAGGCATACCTGTTAGTGTGTGGTGCTGTCCATAGTGAATACAGGCAGACCTCAGTGTGTGGTGCTGTCCATAGTGAATACAGGCAGACCTGATAGTGTGTGGTGCTGTCCATAGTTAATACAGGCAGACCTGTTAGTGTGTAGTGCTGACCATAGTGAATACAGGCAGACCTGTTAGTGTGTGGTGCTGTCCATAGTGAATACAGGCAGACCTGTTAGTGTGTGGTGCTGACCATAGTGAATACAGGCAGACCTCAGTGTGTGGTGCTGTCCATAGTGAATACAGGCAGACCTGTTAGTGTGTGGTGCTGTCCATAGTGAATACAGGCAGACCTGTTAGTGTGTGCTGCTGTCCATAGTGAATACAGGCAGACCTGTTAGTGTGTGGTGCTGTCCATAGTGAATACAGGCAGACCTCAGTGTGTGGTGCTGTCCATAGTGAATACAGGCAGACCTGTTAGTGTGTGGTGCTGTCCATAGTGAATACAGGCAGACCTGTTAGTGTGTGGTGCTGTCCATAGTGAAAACAGGCAGAACTCAGTGTGTGGTGCTGTCCATAGTGAATACAGCAGACCTCAGTGTGTGGTGCTGTCCATAGTGAATACAGGCAGACCTGTTAGTGTGTGGTGCTGTCCATAGTGAATACAGGCAGACCTGTTAGTGTGTGGTGCTGTCCATAGTGAATACAGGCAGACCTGTTAGTGTGTGGTGCTGACCATAGTGAATACAGGCAGACCTCAGTGTGTGGTGCTGTCCATAGTGAATACAGGCAGACCTCGGTGAGTGGTGCTGTCCATAGTGAATACAGCAGACCTCAGTGTGTGGTGCTGTCCATAGTGAATACAGCAGACCTCAGTGTGTGGTGCTGTCCATAGTGAATACAGGCAGACCTGTTAGTGTGTGGTGCTGTCCATAGTGAATACAGGCAGACCTGTTAGTGTGTGGTGCTGTCCATAGTGAATACAGGCATACATCATAGTGTGTGGTGCTGTCCCTAATGAATACAGGCAGACCTCAGTGTGTGGTGCTGTCCATAGTGAATACAGGCAGACCTCATAGTGTGTGGTGCTGTCCATAGTGAATACAGGCAGACCTGTTAGTGTGTGGTGCTGTCCATAGTGAATACAGGCAGACCTGTTAGTGTGTGGTGCTGTCCATAGTGAATACAGGCAGACCTGTTAGTGTGTGGTGCTGACCATAGTGAATACAGGCAGACCTCAGTGTGTGGTGCTGTCCATAGTGAATACAGGCAGACCTCAGTGTGTGGTGCTGACCATAGTGAATACAGGCAGACCTGTTAGTGTGTGGTGCTGTCCATAGTGAATGCAGGCAGACCTGTTAGTGTGTGGTGCTGTCCATAGTGAATACAGGCATACCTCATAGTGTGTGGTACTGTCCATAATGAATACAGGTAGACCTCAGTGTGTGGTGCTGTCCATAGTGAATACAGGCAGACCTGTTAGTGTGTGGTGCTGTCCATAGTGAATACAGGCAGACCTGTTAGTGTGTGGTGCTGTCCATAGTGAATACAGGCAGACCTGTTAGTGTGTGGAGCTGTCCATAGTGAATACAGGCAGACCTGTTAGTGTGTGGTGCTGTCCATAGTGAATACAGGCAGACCTGTTAGTGTGTGGTGCTGTCCATAGTGAATACAGGCAGACCTGTTAGTGTGTGGTGCTGTCCATAGTGAAGACAGGCAGAGCTGTTAGTGTGTGGTGCTGTCCATAGTGAATACAGGCAGACCTGTTAGTGTGTGGTGCTGTCCATAGTGAATACAGGCAGACCTGTTAGTGTGTGGTGCTGACCATAGTGAATACAGGCAGACCTGTTAGTGTGTGGTGCTGTCCATAGTGAATACAGGCAGACCTCAGTGTGTGGTGCTGTCCATAGTGAATACAGGCAGACCTGTTAGTGTGTGGTGCTGTCCATAGTGAATACAGGCAGACCTGTTAGTGTGTGGTGCTGTCCATAGTGAATACAGGCATACCTCATAGTGTGTGGTACTGTCCATAATGAATACAGGTAGACCTCAGTGTGTGGTGCTGTCCATAGTGAATACAGGCAGACCTGTTAGTGTGTGGTGCTGTCCATAGTGAAAACAGGCAGAACTCAGTGTGTGGTGCTGTCCATAGTGAATACAGCAGATCTCAGTGTGTGGTGCTGTCCATAGAGAATACAGCAGACCTCAGTGTGTGGTGCTGTCCATAGTGAATACAGGCAGACCTGTTAGTGTGTGGTGCTGTCCATAGTGAATACAGGCAGACCTGTTAGTGTGTGGTGCTGGCCATAGTGAATACAGGCAGACCTGTTAGTGTGTGGTGCTGACCATAGTGAATACAGGCAGACCTCAGTGTGTGGTGCTGTCCATAGTGAATACAGCAGACCTCAGTGTGTGGTGCTGTCCATAGTGAATACAGCAGACCTCAGTGTGTGGTGCTGTCCATAGTGAATACAGGCAGACCTGTTAGTGTGTGGTGCTGTCCATAGTGAATACAGGCAGACCTTATAGTTTGTGGTACTGTCCATAGTGAATACAGGCAGACCTGTTAGTGTGTGGTGCTGTCCATAGTGAATACAGGCAGACCTGTTAGTGTGTGGTGCTGTCCATAGTGAACACAGGCATACCTCATCGTGTGTGGTGCTGTCCCTAATGAATACAGGCAGACCTCAGTGTGTGGTGCTGTCCATAGTGAATACAAGCAGACCTCATAGTGTGTGGTGCTGTCCATAGTGAATACAGGCAGACCTGTTAGTGTGTGGTGCTGTCCATAGTGAATACAGGCAGACCTCAGTGTGTGGTGCTGTCCTTAGTGAATACAGGCAGACCTGTTAGTGTGTGGTGCTGTCCATAGTGAATACAGGCAGACCTTTTAGTGTGTGGTGCTGTCCATAGTGAATACAGGCAGACCTCAGTGTGTGGTGCTGTCCATAGTGAATACAGGCAGACCTGTTAGTGTGTGGTGCTGTCCATAGTGAATACAGGCAGACCTGTTAGTGTGTGGTGCTGTCCATAGTGTAAACAGGCAGAACTCAGTGTGTGGTGCTGTCCATAGTGAATACAGGCAGACCTGTTAGTGTGTGGTGCTGTCCATAGTGAATACAGGCAGACCTCAGTGTGTGGTGCTGTCCATAGTGAATACAGGCAGACCTGTTAGTGTGTGGTGCTGTCCATAGTGAATACAGGCAGACCTGTTAGTGTGTGGTGCTGTCCATAGTGAATACAGGCAGACCTGTTAGTGTGTGGTGCTGACCATAGTGAACACAGGCAGACCTCAGTGTGTGGTGCTGTCCATAGTGAATACAGGCAGACCTCAGTGTGTGGTGCTGACCATAGTGAATACAGGCAGACCTGTTAGTGTGTGGTGCTGTTCATAGTGAATGCAGGCAGACCTGTTAGTGTGTGGTGCTGTCCATAGTTAATACAGGCATACCTCATAGTGTGTGGTACTGTCCATAATGAATACAGGTAGACCTCAGTGTGTGGTGCTGTCCATAGTGAATACAGGCAGACCTCATAGTGTGTGGTGCTGTCCATAGTGAATACAGGCAGACCTGTTAGTGTGTGGTGCTGTCCATAGTGAATACAGGCAGAACTCAGTGTGTGGTGCTGTCCATAGTGAATACAGGCAGACCTGTTAGTGTGTGGTACTGTCCATAGTGAATACAGGCAGAACTGTTAGTGTGTGGAGCTGTCCATAGTGAATACAGGCAGACCTGTTAGTGTGTGGTGCTGTCCATAGTGAATACAGGCAGACCTGTTAGTGTGTGGTGCTGTCCATAGTGAATACAGGCAGACCTGTTAGTGTGTGGTGCTGTCCATAGTGAATACAGGCAGACCTGTTAGTGTGTGGTGCTGTCCATAGTGAATACAGGCAGACCTGTTAGTGTGTGGTGCTGTCCATAGTGAATACAGGCAGACCTGTTAGTGTGTGGTGCTGACCACAGTGAATACAGGCAGACCTGTTAGTGTGTGGTGCTGTCCATAGTGAATACAGGCAGACCTCAGTGTGTGGTGCTGTCCATAGTGAATACAGGCAGACCTGTTAGTGTGTGGTGCTGTCCATAGTGAATACAGGCAGAGCTGTTAGTGTGTGGTGCTGACCATAGTGAATACAGGCAGACCTGTTAGTGTGTGGTGCTGTCCATAGTGAATACAGGCAGACCTGTTAGTGTGTGGTGCTGACCATAGTGAATACAGGCAGACCTCAGTGTGTGGTGCTGTCCATAGTGAATACATGCAGACCTGTTAGTGTGTGGTGCTGTCCATAGTGAATACAGGCAGACCGGTTAGTGTGTGGTGCTGTCTATAG